ATATAATACAATACAATACACCTCATACAATACAATACAAGCTACCAAACATGGTTTAAATGTATAATCTACCATGTAGTGTAGCATATTAACTTTTAAACCGTGTCGACCTCACATCATTAGCATACACTACAAAATAATTGAGTTTAAATGGTCATTTCTCTTAAATAAAGTTCATAAAATATACAAAAAAAAAAAACAGCAATTTAAACTAGGAAATAAATCTTATTGGCTTGTGCTTAGTTTATGCTATTATTAGAAAAGTCACATTTGGCCGGAGGTAGATGAGGGCTACTTTGTACATATGCTAATTTAATTTCTATATTTTGTTGTCTTCTTTAACATCGGTACTTAAATATTTTATTCAATAATAATGAACAACAAAGTTTCAATAAAAAAAGGATTTTTATTCTGTCTAACCAAAAAAGGGAAAAAAGTTGAAAGGATTTTGCCACTTATTACCAATAATTAGAAGACTTGCTAGAGATCACTTTGGTGTGTGTTAATCAATTACTCCACATTCCACGGTAAATTAAAATGCATATACCTAATCAACTAATCGGGTGTTTGTTAGGACTCTTTACATAATCAGAGATGGCCGTTTAAACTTTAAAGCCTAACTCCTCATAATTAGGGGATCAAATAATAATTAACAAAGGTGAAAGATGTGGAAAGGAATCACTATTATAGATGATCAAAGAGTATTTTCTTCACCATGCATGGAAACGATCATGCAGATCGCTGGAATGATTAGGCCAAGTAATTAAGCTCCTGTTTTAATTATGTTTTATGGTCTAATCCACAGTCATAATGAATAAAACACATTATTTTTATAGTTCACTAGTTAAACTATGATGTTAATTTGAATAAAGGGGGGTAAAAATTTCTTCTAATATTCACTATATTCAAGGGTAGAATTTTAAGCCAATACTTTAACAACTATGAATTAGCTGACACCACCCCGACTATTATCACATTAGGTGAAGAATTCTGGCAAAGTTTATGTTTAAACTAATAAACAATTTTTATAATGAGTTTTATATGATAAAAGTATTTACGAATAATGCATGTTTTTAAACCTTAAATTTGATCAAAATCGCATAAAAAATGTAAAATTGGGCTGTCCCTTTCCGGATATTAATAAGCACAATTAACACATAATCTTCAGTATGATATGATGATTTACTAGAATAATGCAAAACGGGCAATGTACGATACATCGAGAAGTGGCCGAGATTTGATACCAAAAAAGATACATATGTAAGTTGTACATATGTGGATGAAATAAAAAGTCAAAAAAGTATCTTTTTATTTGGTTGATAGATGATGGGCTTTTCACCTAAAGCATATGGTTGCTGTCTAACCTTAGACTTTACATAATATAAGGTCTAAGGTCTATTTCACGGGGGAAAAAAATAAAAGACAATAATAAATCAAGGACTGTTATTTAGGGGGGTGATTGAAATAAAAATTAAAATCACAAGGCATTTGAATTTCAAAGCCTGGATACTGGGACCCATTAAACTTTGTGTTCTCATTATGGTGGCAGAGATTCCAAGTTTGTGCTTCCGTTTCTTTTGTCTCTAATGATGCCAATATTTCCTTTTGAAAAAAAAAAAAAAAAAAAACTCAAAAATTACAAACTCATCATTTTAATCTTGGTTATATTGAACAATTCATAACATTTTAACATATAACTGATCAACTATATAAGGATGCTTGCAGATTTTAGGTTTCTCTTGTTGTCTGCACTAAAAAGGTCACTTTGGACATATGTTTGATGCAATATTTAAAAAGAGACTATTTTGGGTAAAGAAAGCGAACAAAATAAAGGACTGAAAATGGTTCTTAGGCTTTTGGTGTAAAAAAAAAAAAAAGGAAATAATATAATAATAAAAAAACTAAAAAATCGTATGGTCTATGGCCTTTGGGTCTATAAATATTTTTTAAAAATGTATGAATTTAAATAAATATCTTTACTCTTATATTAATTAAAAAGATATTAATCATATGTAAAAGGTTAAAATCGAGACTTATACACTTTTAAGTACAAGTCTAGCCATTTTTTCAGTTCTCTAGTTCCTTTTGAGTACTAAGCCGAATTCATGTTCTTATTACGCGCGCACGCGTCACTTTGCAATGAAAAAGCTTTGAAGAAAGAAAAATTTAGTAAGCTATGAGTACAAATATGTTTATTTATACAACTCAAATCATAATTTAAGTTGTATATATAAAAAATATATTATAATAAAAAAATTAAATTTAAATTTTTATAAAAAAATATTATAATAATATAAGTTGAGTCACTACTCATGGGACATTATCAAATAAAGTCGAGTCGTCACAATGCTGTAATAGGTCGCGATGCAAAAAGCAAAAGCCGCAATTTTATTTTATTTTATTTCTTTTGTGATGAAAAAAAAGTAATAAAAATTAAAAAGCTGCGAGTTGGTAGTTAGTAGTGCAAGGAGTCGGCTGGACCAACATACTTCAAAGCAGAACAAGGACCTGTGTATTTACATTTTTTTTTTTGTTGAAAATTTTATTTTAAAAACTATTTTATTTATAAAGAATTGTATGTCCAAATACCTTAACGCATATGAATATGAGATAAAATATTATGTAAAAAGAATTAAATTTAAATTTTTAAAAGAAAAAAATATTATAATAAAAATTTAAGTTGTAAATGATTTGAATTAGCAAAACGAGCCAACATAATTTATATTTTTTTTATGAGTATCTTAAAATTCTCCTCTACATTTGTTTATGAGTAACCTACAATTTTTTGGAATATTATATACAAACACTGTCCTTAGACATCTCTTTATCCAGAGTGGGTTGATACAATTTGGTGTACATTATCATTGTTGATTAAATTACATATTTGTACACGTGTTTCAAATGTCCCTTTAATTAATTAATTTATTTATTTTTAGCGTGTGTGGTTGATTCCATTCCCAACATTGGAATCAGCTTTATAATAATTGAAATATCTTTCACTCTACGTTATCGACTAAATTCTTTTTTCCCAACATTTTAAAAAAGAATACTTTTTAGAAATACTGCAGTACCTGCCCTTTTGTTTTCGTATTCGAACTTTTTAAAAAATAGTTTTTTTTCCCTTTAAATAATAAAATAGCAACTACAGGAATGTCTTTTTGTTTTTAAATGTCAAATGTTTCTTAATACTCCGTGACAATTAGCCAATATTGGTGCACATGCAATCATGTTGTGGCTTGTTATATACTAATGTTTTGGGACAATATGATCATCACTTGCTTATGAGAATTAGAGATCAATTTGCATATTCCCAAAGTAACATTCCTCGAATTCATCCCCAAATTGCATATTGCCTACTCCCAGTGTGGACTTCAAGTACAAAACTCTTAGGGAAGATACACTATATAACACATTTAACGTCTATGTTGGAAGAAAATAGCATATATTTTAAAACATAATAAATCATAGCATATCTCTACACTCCATTTTAAAATAAGTTGTTCTTTTCCACATTTATCTTTTTTTTTTTTTTTTTTTTTTTTTTTTTTTTTTTTCTCTTTTCTTCCCCCACATACTTTCACAGCCACCTCTCTCCCTTTTCTTTCTTTCTCTCTCCTCTCTCCTCTCTCCTCTCTCTCTCGTCACAGTGTCTCTCTTCTCCCCGCGTTCTCTGCCTCTCCTCTCGTTGTGCTCTCTCTATCATTGCACCGCCGAAGCGGTGGCCGAAAAATCGCAACGGTTGCAAAGAAAGGATGACGAGAAAATGGCGAAGATCAACAACAAGAAAAATTGGCGATTGACGAGGCATCTAGCAGCGAGTCCTGTGGTGGCAAAATCTCGTGGCAACGAGACGTGACAGTAGATCCGCAACAGAGAACTGACGAGCTTGACTTTGATCTCAGTCCTTTTGATCTCGCGAGCAGTTTGAATTTTTATGGTCATCATCTGACCAAATGCTCTTCGTCCAGATCCCTCTGTCGCGAGCAGAGCCGGCCAAATCTCACCGGTTTCGCAAACCAGATCCCGGAGGTCGTCAATCTAAACCAAATCTCACCGGTTTTGCGATGATTGGTGAAGCCGATCGACGATGACAGCGGTGACGACGTTGGATTAGATTTTTTTTTTTTGTAATTTTTATAATTTATGAGTTATGTGATTTTTGGTGGATATTTTGTATTTTTTATGCATTATTTTGTGATTTTTGTCTAAGTTTTGTGAGTTTTGGATAAGAATTTGTTATTTAATGATTTTTGTTATTTTTTATCGTGATTTGGTTACCTGCGAGGATTTCTGATAGAGTTTGAGTTTGTGATTTTATTTTTTGATCTAGGATTTTGAATATGATAAATATTGTATTTATTAGTAAATACTTCACTGAATTTAAGTTTGAATATGGTAAATACTGTATTTACCAGTAAATAATACAGTGTTAAACGGTCACCAAAAAATAGTCATCGAAAATTGGTAACCGGTCGTGAGAAAATGATCACATGTTGCTAAAAAATGGTCTCCGGTTGCTGGAGCCGGCTGCCAGTCCCGACCATAGCTGACTTGACTATTTTAAAAAAATATGCTATAATTTACTATTTTCTAAAAAAATAAATATTTTGGGGGAGGAGTGAGGTGGAAAAGGAGATTTAAAGGTATTTGTGAGTTTTTAATAATGTTTAAAATTTAAAATATCAAATTATGTTATAGTGTATTATATTTAAAAAATATGCTATAATTTATTACTTTATTAATTATGTTATTTCCCTCCTCGGGTTTAGAAACGCGCCCCAACTTGAGTAAACAGCAATATTAGGTCTAGTTGGGCCCTGAGTCATCTTTGGGCCTCTATCTATGATTGATCACGAAAATCTCTTTGGGCTTCTAAGAAATGTCAACAAAGAGGCCCATTAGGTGAAATATTGTCGGCCCATCACAATCCCGCCAACAAGTGGCACGTGTTCTGACGTGGGCAACAGCTTCTAGAGTTTCCATGGCACAATGAGGAGGGTTTAATGGTCGGAGAAAAATGCCTGGTCTAGGGTTTTAGAGGAAGCTACTGTGATTTAAACCTCAAGTTTCTGAAGTCTGAATCATCTTTTACCTGAACAATATGGGTTTCTGGGGTCGGTTTCTACGAAAATTTCCATTTTTTCCATTTGATTTTCTTAGCTTACTAACAACTCGATTAATCTACTATTCCATTTACTGTCCTGAGTTTCTTTTGGCTATGGAAAATTGGAAATGATCATCATGTTTATTGCATATTTGTGTTTTCTTGGCTAATTTTGAATTTTCCAACTTGCAGGAATCGAAGTGAAACCAGGAAAACCCTACCCTTACCACTCCGATAATGTTCCGGGTCGGCTTCACGTAACTCAGGTCAGTTTCTTCCTTTCCATGTTTGCTCAATCCACTTCCACTTTCTCATTCTTTCTAAATCTTAAATTTCATCGAATACAATTGACTGTCGTTCGTTTTATGAGTTAGTTTTTGCCTGCTCTACCTTTATTTGGGGG